TTTGAAATGTTTTCTTGATGAAAATGAATAGTAATAATAATAATAAGTCTCAATAAAAATGATAAAATGTAAATTTAATTTTATCATAATGAGTTTGCTTAAATTTCGTTTCTTCTGAGATCACAGCAATGCGCGACGGGTAAGCTAGTTGTATATATTATAGAATTTGTTATAAAAAATTTTAATTTAATACACTGTAAAATTATTTATAATAATTACTACTAGTAGTACAAAATGAATTTTATAAATAATTATTGAAATGATACTATTAATCTGACACTGGTTTAAAAATGAAAACTATTTTTTTTTTTTAATTTCTTAAATTGTTTAGTGGATTTTAGTTGTTTCAGTTTCTGGGAAGAAATGTAGTTGAATATTATAATATTTTTAATGTTTAAATTTTCTTAAACTTCTAATATTACTTTTTTAGTTTTTTTAATGTAATTATATTGTATTTATATTGATACAGTTCATAATTTTTAAATTCATAAAATTTTACATATAAAAAATGAAAGATTTTTAAATAATCGGCAAGTTTTTGAATTCTAGAATATGTTTAATTTATTGGGTTCTGGAATTGTAACATTTGAAAGGAACTGTTCTTCTTTTGAACTATTGGAAATTAATGATAAAGATATTTAAAACTTTGAAAACATTTTTGTATGTTTAAATCTGATTTCTCAACTAAAGTTCTCTATCATTTTCTGATATATCATAATACTGTATTTCCTTGACTAAACACCAGGACTCAAATAAACTACAATCTTTGAATAAAACCCAGAGAATAAAGATGCTGTTAAAACGAAAACTTGGGTCAAAAAGTATGAGTCAAAAAAGTTACATGTTAAAGTTCTCCACTGTATAAGGTAATGCAGTTTAGAATGACAGGTAAGGAATTTAATTAATTAAAAGTCTTCTTCTTCAAATTGTCTAGAGTTGGATAACACTTTCTATTCTAAGGTTCAAGGAAACATTTTTTGAAATAAAATTATAAATATTGTTGAAAAGTGAGTGTGGGAAAGTCACAATTGAGTTCACAAGTCAAGAGCTTATCAATCAAAAGGTAATTAGGAAAACTCTGGTTTAAACTCACTGTCTCTTTTGAAAATAGATGATGAATTTGAACCAGAAAAATGTAGTCACGATCTTGATTCCTACAATGACAACAAAGCAAACACAAATGACAATGTAATAACTGAAGTGGAAGACAATGAATAGGGTTAACTATGAAAAGAATAATTATTTCAAGTATTGTAGCTGTTAAGCTTAAACACAGTCAATAGTTTTTGCTAGTTTAGTAAACGTATAAGTAATTAAGGTATGTTTTTCAGTTTTTATCCATTCATCTCTTGTTGCAAGGTAATAAACTGGAAGTGTAAAGAAAAAGAACTAAAAAGATTAGTGATAAGTCGAAACTTATTCAAAAATGTTTCATCATCCAAGAAAATGAAGTTTTGCCTTACAGGCTCAGGAGTTTTCATTTGTATTGCTCATTTCCATTATTTTTAATCCAAAATCCATTTTGATTTTTTATCAATGTTCGAAAGTAACTATTTTGAACTGGAAGTGTAAAGAAAAAGAACTAAAAAGATTAGTGATAAGTCGAAACTTAATAAATTCTAGCCATGAAAAAACCCTGGGTCTTCAAATAAACCCAAGGGAATAAATACTTTTTGAAAATAAACTTCTGGGATTTAATTGAGGAAATACAGTATCTCCAAGCTTTAGATAAAATCAAATACCAATATAAATTTTGTTTATAGTTTTCAGATATGTTGTTATATACTGTTCGTGTAGCATCACCAAGTTTGGAATTTAAAGTTAAAAAACAAGTTTTTCTTCAAGATGTTGTTATTGAAAAAACAGAACCAAAATTTGGAGCAAATTTTTGCTTCATTTTATATACTAATGCTAAGACATTTCTATTGGCAGCAAAGTAAGTAATTCTTAGTTTATTACCTGTTCAGATTCTATTTAATGATGAAAGTGTAAAAAAAATTAATTATGATGATTTATATTTATAAAAGTATTCTCATAGTTTTATAATTTAATAAATCTAAAGTGATACAAAAAAATTTTTTTTTTGCAATAGAAAAAAAAATGTGTATATTATACAATCTCAAAAATTATTTTGAGATTGTATAATATACAAATTCAGACAATTCAGACAATTTTAAAGAAAATGTTGTTTATCAACAAATTCAGACAATTTTATCAACAAATTCAGACAATTTTAAAGAAAATGTTGTTTTAGAATGTAAACTCTTAATCAATGTCATAACTAGCTTTTCATTTGCCCAGTGCAAGGTTTCATTTTTGGGCTCCTTAATTTTTTTCAGGAAAATAAAACAGATATGATAAAATAATTGTTTATAAATAATTTTTGTGTACTATACATGTGAAATATACAAGATCATTTACATGTACTTATAAATGAAATTATTGTATACAGTCGACCCCCCTATAATTACGGTCCCTATAATTACGATTCCTATAAAACTACGAAAAAATTGTGACCGGTATCCGTAAAAAACAGTANGTAAAAAATTGTAAATGCTAATAACAAGTCAAGTCATCATAAAGTCCAACCCTATTAGAGATATATACAACCTCCATTATATCCCCATCCCCTCACTCTTTAATCACCAAAATTTAACAGCATCAATCCTCCTAAAATAAAACCTCCCTGCAAAATTTCAGAAATTTTCAAAAAAAAGCACAGAAGTTATTAAGCTTCAAAGAAAGTGAACAAAATTGTGACCCCACACACTAACATTCATACAGAAAAAACTCCCAAACTTGTTTACATTTTTTGATGTGTCAGTATCCTGAATCCAAAAATGTAAACATCTTGGAGGGGATCATTTTTTGACCAATCACCATACTTTCCCTCTGTTATATATAACAGCCAAGAAAATAAAAATTGAGAGAATACTCAATCACTTCCTGACCACTATCACCCCTACAATGCTGCATGATGTTTGATATTCAGTTCTATCCTGAAATCCAGAAGTGCAACATCACTAATGGTGCATACTTTGAATATTGTGTACAGTAGACTACTTAGCAAATTAGTTGCACTATCTGTATGAACATTGCATTATGTTTCTGTTGTTTTGTGCATAAATGTTTACTACTTTCTTAGTCTTTTCTTTCTGCTCTTTCCTATAAGTGTTTCTGCTGAGACAAGTATTGTTTCGTATTAATTAAACAACACTCTTTCATTTTGTAACTGAACTTTTTTGTCTATCTCTAGTTTGAGTTAGTTTTCTTCAGTTTTGTATTATGCCACTAGGAACACTAAAATCACATTCAATGGACTGTGCATAGTCACTTTCTTACAGATGCCAACTATTTTTGTAATGATACAACAAATGGGGTGTACAGTTACAAAAAGTTATATGGGGTGTACAGACTCTCCTAAAAAGCCTGTACAGTGGGTGATCGGTTAACGAACATAATCCATTCCAAGACTTTGTTCGCTATCTGAATTGTTCATTAACTGATTATCAATTTACCATAGGTTTTTATGGGAATTTGACTGACTTATTCTGGAGACCCCAAAAAATAAAAAATATATACTTTCTTACTATGTTTATATGTAATAATAAAAATACATATATACACAGTCTTGCATTTTTATTAATTGTGTTTTTTCCATTTGTGGAGGTTAAAGAATCTGTCTAATGTCAATTCCTTTTCTCTCTTCTTCAGGATTTTTCAGAAGTAATTAATAGCATTATAATTGTAGAGATCCCTAAGCCTATTAAGCTCAACCTGGTTTGGATGCCATTCTAAGACCGTTGTTCTGACATCCTCCCACTTCTTCAAAAGATGTCTAATAGCAGATATCGGCATTAATCCTCTTTTTCAGAAAATAACCTATCTTGCCTAGTTTCTTGGCATTCTTCTGTCGTCAGATCCATTTCAGGTTCTATTATGATCTCTTCAATGTTCTTTATTTCTCAGATGTGATTTTTGTTATTCCTTTAGCTGCTTGAATCTTCTTGATTATACTTTATCTTTCTTCAATAAGATTGAACTGCGGCCTACTGTAGAACTGTTCAAGCCATACTGCCCAACAACATCAGACATTTTCGGCCCACTCTCTACCTTTGCAATTATACTCTTACCTTTTGAAAATAAAAACCGATGCAAAACTTAATGAGTGTCTGCTCGACAGTCTTGCAAATACTATAACAGAATTTCTGTCAAAAAAATAAAAGGCTGGAATTATAAGGGAGAGTTTCAAAGTTCGGAGGAATACTATCCAATCAGTATATACCGGGTTGAGCGTCGATGTCTACCGTGCTCCAAAAAGTTTTGAATTGTTGCCTGGAGACAAGGAAAGACCAATTGGTATTCATTATTTTACATCGCTGCTGCTTGTTCTGTGAGGTGTTCGTTATCCGATTCGTTCATTAACTGAACACCCACTGTATTTGACAATTTTTTTTGTTAGTTCCATTTTTAAATCTCCCTTTTTCCTAGACCCAGTGTCTGTGCATCTACTGCAATTGCCTAGTTGTGGAATTTCTTGTAATAAAGAAGATAAGAATTATACACCCCAAAATTACAATAGATAAAAAAGACAAAATAGGAAAAACTGTTTTTTGGTGTCCCATGGGTTTTCTCCCTCAGTATTTCTAGTTGAAATAGTAATGAAAAACTTAAAGCATGGAATTTTTGGTTTTGCTGTTACCATTAAGTGTTTCTTGTTATATATAAGATATGTGGATGACATGCTATTAGTTTGGGATGCTTCTAGTAAGGATTTTGTTTTTTGTAAATATTTAAATGCTGTTTATTTCATAATTAAATTTTTTCTAATGAAGGAGACTGGTAATAACTGTAATGCCTTTTTAAATCTTTTTATAAAAAGAACCTCATCATGCTTAATCTTTGAAGTCTTTTGATTTCGATGAAACTGTGTTTTAATTTAATTTTGCTTTATTCAGACACAATAACGTGACTTCTTTTAAACACTTGGCAGATTATCCATCACTTTATTTAGTTGGGATGCTAGTTACGAGTTGTGTTCCGGGCATTGGCCGCTCCTCAGCCAACTAAACATTAAAATCAAACATGAGAAAATTTAAATTTACATACGCGAATTAAAAATTCTCTAAATATAACATATTTAAAAAAACATACCTTAAAAGTACAAATTACAACATACAGACTGCATACATAATGGACTGTATCAGATTCCATAAATTGAGTGAAGAATGAACAGATTGACAGATCTCGAACTTGACAACAGGACTTACAAACTTTGTGAACTTTTATAAATAATATTGAACTTTGAAGTCTTTCACAAATTTGATTTATCTGATATAATTATTTCCAGTTCTTCTCAATTATTCATTACAAGAATGCTGCTATTGCTGCATTAATACATTATACATATTAAATAAAATATATTCTTTACGTCAATAATTATATATGAAATAAACAAAACTTCGTTTATTTCATATACATTGTACTATTTATTGCCTTCTACATAACTTGGAATTGCTATTGAATTGAAATGAGTTATGTTTACTCTGAGTGCAGGTTACAGTTGCTCTGTTAGTAAATTTAATTGATGTTAAGGTACTGCAGCCACTTTTTTTCTCCTCCTATAATCAAGGTCAGTGTTATGAGCTGCAGAGCCCAGTTGGAAACTTTTTGAGACCCAAGCTCACAGCCAAGTTCTTAGAATCATAGAGATATAAATAAAGTTTATTATAGACTTTATAACTTTCTTCCTTTAGTGTCATCATTATTACTGTATTGTGGCTCCACTTGCTATTCTACATTTCCTGAGATAGGTTTGCTAAAATTTTTCTAATGCACCTGTCTCCTTTTCTGTTATGGCTTTTTTTGCTTTGGCTACAGCACTCTTCTTGCCACTTAAATATATATATATATTTGTTTATAGCATAGTNATTATTTTTATCACTCCCTATTTTTATAAGTAAATTATATGTATGTATTTTTATAATAATAGACCTATATAAATAATATAAACATTTTTATAATGCTTTTTCAACTAAAAGTAATATAAAGTAAATCTATAAGCTAACATAAAAAAAAAGCTTACATAAAATTGTTTATAATATTAACTCTAAATTAAAATATTTATAACTTTTATTAAATTAAACTTAGCAGAAGCCGATATTATGGAAAAATACGATTCAAAAGCAAGATTATATATATATATTTATTTTTATTTTTAAAATGTTTTTTAGTCTTTTACCTGTATTTACAGGAACCATAAAACTTAAACTTTTTACAACAAAGTATTAAAGGTGGCATCCATCATTAAAGTAATAAAAAGCAAAACATACTGTATTTAATGTCTGCCTCATATTTGTCATAAAAAATTCAGCAGAAATAACATTATATCCAATATTGGACTGGTAATAAATTTTGTTCCAAGAATATATACTAAATATAGGCCCATGTAATGAAACTCTGTACCAGTATTTTAGGAATACATTCTAGGGTCAAAAATAAGCTTAAAATCCTTTAAAATTCTGCTTCATTTCCGAGATTTGGCATGGCAAAAATAGTATTGGAAACTAATTTGAAACATCCTACCAAAAGGATATCACTGATTATTTTTCACTTCTGTGTTACTAAGACACAAACTGAAGCTTTACTTTAAACAAATATAAACATTGAAAAACTTGATTCTTGATTAATACCAAATGATCTGCGAGATTGTATCAGGCTATATCAAGAATAATGTCAGGAATCTTCTTCAGGAAAAATTACACTCTAAAAGAATGTAATTTTTCCTGAAAAGGATTGTTTAAGATGTTTGAATAAAGCTTTACTGCATTTGATGGTTTTAGAGTTGGTATTTTTATATTGAAAAGTTGTTAAATAACATTTGTTTTATCATTCTATCATTGTTTTCAAATGTTCTATTTTGCTTTCTAAAACAAATTTGTGACCAGGGTGTCACATTCTGACATGGTGTCTCTTTGACACCATGTCAGGATGTGACACCACCCAGTCTCACAGGACTCGGAAATCATGACTTTACGTCACGCGAGCGGTTGGATTCGGAGTAGAGGTGAGGAGAGAGACAAGGAAGTGACTCACTCGGACTCCATAGTAACAAAATAAATAACAATTTTAATTATAACAAAAGAAAATACAGATATACTCGATATCAAGCATGACTAATGTTCCCCTTAATTCTTACTAGCCCATTTGAGAGAGAGAGTTTACAAATGAATCACGGGTTGATAAATACCTTTCTTTTGGGTCGAAGATCTGTGGTCAGATGACACCGCCAATTGAATGTTCGCTCAAAATAGTTCTGGGTCTTGTCTGTTAACAGGAGCCCGGAGGTGTGAAGGCACTGAAGTGGGGATGATATCCTTAAAGAGGCACAGGATTAATCCTGGAGGACGACTTTGGAAGACAACTGACTTCGGGTGTTTTTCCCATTTTTTCTTGTTATTCCTCTTGGGTTTTTCCCAGGAGGTCAGGAGGTTGTTGTTAATGGTCTGGCATCCAATATGGGCACTCTATCGAAAGTTCCGGGTGACACATCACTGACTAGCTGGATCAACAAGGAACCAACTCCATGGGAAATAATTTTTATGGCTTTTAGCCTAACTTGATAAAATGCTCGAATTTAGATGATTGAATTTCCCAATAATTAAAATTTAAAATAACACTTTAATGGGGGGTCTGTTCGTCCCTCAGAAATTTTTAAAAATTAATTAATGTATTTTGTTTTAATTTCACTCTAATTCTGTTAAATTCAAATTTTATGTTCTATTTGCATTCCTTAAAAATTGTTAGCAAATTTAAAATTTTTACATTTTTGTGTGTTTATATTATAGAATTTTTGTACTTCTGTGTGTTATATCTTTTGCCTGATGATGCTAAATTCATTTACCAAAAATATTTGCTTTTATTGTCATAATTATTAAAGTAACATTAAAAGACAGTTTTTTTCTATTTCATCTTTTATTGTAATAAATAGTCTTCAAATATAAAATTTGACAAAATACTGTTTATGAAGCAAAGACTTAAAAGTTACTCAAATGTTTTCACATTATTCTCACTCATCTTTAAGAGTCAAATGGAGAATAAAGTTTTAAAACTGAAGAAAAAAAATGGAAAAACAGCATTTTGTTTCATTATAAAACATATTTGTTTAGATTTATTCTTGAAGATGAGTTCTTTATATTTGAGAATATTTAATGTTTTATTATGATAAAGTGTATATTTGATTATCTCAAAATAAAATCTTTTAAATTATTTTTTTCTATTTATAATACTATTAAAAATATAAAAAAATTCTTAATATTTTTCAAGTTCAGAAGAAGAAAGAGATAGATGGCTTATAGATATGAAAGAAGCTACACAGAGGAAAAAAAAATATATAAATTTATATCACACACCTGGTAAGTTAAGTAGTAATGTATTATTTATTTCCTTTTATTTTATATTTTAAATTTTGTGAAAATAATTATCATTTGTTATTTTATTCATCTAATATAATTATAAAATTTTAATTATTAAACTAAAAATTATGTTTGTTACTTAATTTCCTAACATACTGGGTTGAATATAAAATCAACTTACTGGTTTAAGTAAGTCGATTTTACATGTTTGTTACAAAATAGCAAATGTTGAACAGTTTTTTAATATCATAAAACAATATTAATATATAAAAATATAGTATAAAACATAATTTCCTATTAATTATTTTATTATTATATACTTTATACTTTTAATATACTCATAGTATTACTGTAAAATAGCAGTTTCTAACTCCTGATATCTATGGATGAAATTGCAGATTATATTAATTTAATTTTGTTGAATTTGGTATGATAGTTGCTGTGTTTAGGATGTCAGTGTCCTTATGGGATCNCCAAGTTTATGTACTGTCAATGCCTGTGTCCCTTGAGGATGCACTGCAGACCATCACGGAGGACATGTTACATTGCATATGGGAAGAATTTGATTACCGTGTAGATGTGTGTCGTGTGACCATGGGTGCACAATACTTTATACTTTTAATATACTCATAGTATTACTGTAAAATAGCAGTTTCTAACTCCTGATATCTATGGATGAAATTGCAGATTATATTAATTTAATTTTGTTGAATTTGGTATGATAGTTGCTGTGTTTAGGATGTCAGTGTCCTTATGGGATCCCCAGTCTTGAGTGATGTTGCCAAGATAGTAGTATCCAGGGTGGAGAACCTGTGGCTAGCAAGTACAAAAATACTATTAGACCTACCTCAGTATATACAGGTATACCTGGAGTTACGTTGTTCACGACTATACGTCATTTGTCAAAAAAATATATGGAAAAATAAAAATCAAATTTAGGTCATTTTATTCGACTTCTCGTCTGTCTGCCACAAATATTGAAGTCGTAATATCACTAGAGAAACGTTTAAAGCACATAAAATCATATTAAAATATATACATTTACAAGTATGTACTGTATTTACAGTACCTGCATTCATATATTTAGATTACTTTTTTCTGTACTATATTAAAAACTAAAATTTATTTGTTTGTAAGCTTAAAATAGATCCTTATTAACCATATATTATTAAAGATGCATTAATAAATAAAATACAGAACCGGGAATGGTAATTTATGGTTTAGCCTAATGACAAGTAGATTCGGAGACAAGTAAATTTGATTTACGTCATTTTTTGACTTATGTCGCCTCTCCTGGAACCAATTACCGACGTAAGGTGAGGTATACCTGTAGTAGACATTTTCATTGTATGGAATAGATCTCACCTGGTTCACAATTTTTTGATGACATAAACAACAACTCAATTAGAACACACCTAAAACTGGACCGAGTTAGCCGTATTATAGTTGGCTTTCTAGACATGAATATGTTTGTTTTAAATGTTAATTTCACTATTGTACTAAGATGTGTAGGAAACGTATTAACTTAGACTTATATGTACTGTACATTGGCACTTGTGACACAATGGCATATAAATTAGCAGCTTTTTAGATCATTATAAAAAGAGTTATAACACATTCAGCATTAGTAGTTTTCAGAACGTAAGAGTTATTGCACATCTTAGGTAACTCTTTTCCATGACTTTCTACCCTTTGTAATTAAAGGTCTATTTAAGAACACCAAGTAATTGAGAATATGAGGTAAAGCAAAGTGCTAAAGACAGTGTATATATATATATATAGTATTTGCGAAGTTAACAACTGCACTCCTTACTACTTATCCAAAGTTAATAATATAACTTTAAGAATCAAGAGACTTCCCACTGTAATGTAGTGGTTATGGAGAACAAAGTTAAAAGAAGAGGATATGACAGGCATCTGTGTAGTCAGGTTCTCCAGGGGATGCAATGACCTATTTATTATGTAGTATCTACATAACTACATATAGAATCTTAAACAAGTGCATTAAGGAACATTAGGATTCTAAGACTAAGGTTGCTCAAGCAAGAACATGTTAATGTAATGGGCCTTTAGATGGTGATGTGCAAGTTGATTGGGAGAATTCTTTATTAAAAAATGGTCATATTCAAGTTTCAATAGATTAGTGGAACAGTATNTTTTTATTATTTTATTTTTAATTGTAGCCCTTATATCGTGGCTAGCGATTCGGAATGTAATTGTGATATTAAAAATGCATTTAGAAAAGTCTATGGTTTTTACTGGCTTATCGAATAAACGATACGAATGGACCCTAGACCATCACTGATGCGCAATTGACTGATTGTTCCTTGATGTCGGCTTCTTACAGAAACACAGCTTCCCTATCATCAAATGTCACGGCATGCCACTGCTAACTGAGCATTCATGTCATCCATAAGCAGCTTCATGTTGTGACTAAGAATCCCATTTAGTACAATCTGCAGCTGGTCATAGAATGCATCTTTATCTATCTCATCAGCATTTTCAATGGATGCATATGCCTAGATTACAGTAGTTTTACATGTCATGATTGGAATTGAGTTGTTATAATCCCACCATTGACAGGTTTCCAGTCAGTACTCAAGTTGCCTCTTTTGACAGGACGACCCCACTCCTCTTATGTGATTTTCATATGGCCAGAATGCAAGATGGTTTTGCTGGAACACAACTAGACTAAATTTTTGTAAAAAATTTAGTTTAGTTGTGTTCCAGCAAAACCACATAAACTGGAATACAACTAGACTAAATTTTTGTAAAAAATTTAGTCTAGTTGTATTCCAGTCATTCCCTGATATGATAAGCCCTTAAATGTATTATAGCCATATTCATCAATCTATTTAATTTATACTTAATGGTTTTGCCACTTCCTGTTCATCTTACTTTAATAATTTTGAGGTTTTCCATGTGATATTTATCAAATTCTGGGAGCAACTGTGCTATCCCTGCCACACTGGTACATGGGGGGTCCTTTGTCTGTACATTCCATGTTTCAATTTTAGTTATGCTATTGGCATTTAGTATTGAATTCTGCATTGAGCACAGGACGGGCACAAATCCTCATCGTTTTGTTTCTACACTGTCATAGAGGATGAACCAATTGTATCACGCTGAGAGTTTTGGTTTTGCTGAAATCTGCTTATTGTTTCTTTAGCAGTGACAGTTTTTATGGAATGGAGTTCCTGATCCTATGCCCCCTCCTCCTTTTTCATCTGGGCTTGAGACTGACAATGGTGGAGTAAAATATTGAATGCTTACAAATTGAATGTTTCCAAACAAATGGATAGATACATAAGTTATATTGCAACATCTGACATATTTCTCATTTGGTTTGTCTCTTGACATGCATGATAAAACAAGGGCCTGCTGTATTTTATCAAGGAATTTTATATGTTCTTTTTTATATATAACAATTTATAATTTATATTAAACAATTTATATTAAATAAAATTCTTTATGATATGATGTACTATAATTGTTTAATATAATATATTTGCATACCACAAATATATAATTTAATATTTAAAGTTGTATTTTAAAATAATTTCTTAGCAGTCTAATGAATGCATGTTAGAAAAATCTGTTAGATTTTTCTAATATGCATTCCCTTAAAATTTTTCAACCAAAATTTAGCATTAAGTGATAGTAAACATTAATGTTGTTACAACAAACTAAGATAAATAAATATTCTGTCTGTCTTTATTTTTATGAATATTGAATTGCAAATGTGAAATCAAAGCATAAACTTATGCTTTCTTTTAAAAATTATCATCATTTTATGTTTTCAATGGACACTTTTGCTGTCTTCCAAACAAATACAAAAACATTTTAAATAAACTTTATGAATCTTTTTTGTGACTTTGTAAGTCATCCTTAAAATTCAAAATTTACAATTATATAAATAAATCTTATTATATTATTGTACAATTATATAAATTTGTAATTACTGTTGTGTTTATTAATTTAACTGGTAGATTTATAAGTTAGTTTCCCAAAGATTGATAGTTCATGTAATCATCCAGCCATTATAATTTTTCATCTCAGATAATTTTGATTCAAAATCACATTAATCTCTTACAAAACATTTTAAATAAGTTTTATTTAAATTAACTACAATATTGTTAATGTGTATTTTATATTTATTTTACTCAAAATATAGAATTACTTTAGTGGACCATTGTTAAGAAAATTTAAAAACAGTAGTGGATGGCAAAGATTATGGGTTGTATTTGCTCAATTTTCACTGTTTTTCTACAAATCTTATCAAGTAAGTATTATTATTAAAACTATATTTAAAATATTTTTTNATATCACTAGAGAAACGTTTAAAGCACATAAAATCATATTAAAATATATACATTTACAAGTATGTACTGTATTTACAGTACCTGCATTCATATATTTAGATTACTTTTTTCTGTACTATATTAAAAACTAAAATTTATTTGTTTGTAAGCTTAAAATAGATCCTTATTAACCATATATTATTAAAGATGCATTAATAAATAAAATACAGAACCGGGAATGGTAATTTATGGTTTAGCCTAATGACAAGTAGATTCGGAGACAAGTAAATTTGATTTACGTCATTTTTTGACTTATGTCGCCTCTCCTGGAACCAATTACCGACGTAAGGTGAGGTATACCTGTAGTAGACATTTTCATTGTATGGAATAGATCTCACCTGGTTCACAATTTTTTGATGACATAAACAACAACTCAATTAGAACACACCTAAAACTGGACCGAGTTAGCCGTATTATAGTTGGCTTTCTAGACATGAATATGTTTGTTTTAAATGTTAATTTCACTATTGTACTAAGATGTGTAGGAAACGTATTAACTTAGACTTATATGTACTGTACATTGGCACTTGTGACACAATGGCATATAAATTAGCAGCTTTTTAGGTCATTATAAAAAGAGTTATAACACATTCAGCATTAGTAGTTTTCAGAACGTAAGAGTTATTGCACATCTTAGGTAACTCTTTTCCATGACTTTCTACCCTTTGTAATTAAAGGTCTATTTAAGAACACCAAGTAATTGAGAATATGAGGTAAAGCAAAGTGCTAAAGACAGTGTATATATATATATATAGTATTTGCGAAGTTAACAACTGCACTCCTTACTACTTATCCAAAGTTAATAATATAACTTTAAGAATCAAGAGACTTCCCACTGTAATGTAGTGGTTATGGAGAACAAAGTTAAAAGAAGAGGATATGACAGGCATCTGTGTAGTCAGGTTCTCCAGGGGATGCAATGACCTATTTATTATGTAGTATCTACATAACTACATATAGAATCTTAAACAAGTGCATTAAGGAACATTAGGATTCTAAGACTAAGGTTGCTCAAGCAAGAACATGTTAATGTAATGGGCCTTTAGATGGTGATGTGCAAGTTGATTGGGAGAATTCTTTATTAAAAAATGGTCATATTCAAGTTTCAATAGATTAGTGGAACAGTATTACATATAAGTTATATATATTTTATCATGCTCAATTAACATTGTTTATAAGCAAGATTTATTAGCTTTCGATGTAAAGCAGGTGGCCATCTTAGATTCATACCACTTCTCTTTTATGGTAAGTAGTTTACATGACAGGTTTAAGAAACAGGCATCAGTATTTAACACTATACATCCTTTGGTTCTCACCTCTATAGTGTTTGCTTATCACAGGACTTTAAATTTCATCTCTATTTTATTAAAGTTTCAGTTCTGTTTTTAATATACTTATGGGTGTTAAAATTTAAACTATTAGGTTAAAAGTTTTATTAAATTATATTAAATTTAGGATGATAGAGTTTAAATTTAAAATGTTAAAATATAAGAATTTAAAATTAAGCCTTTAAACTGTTTGATTTTATCTTTCAAAGAATGAAATTGATTTTGTTCCAAATTATTTAGAGCTGAAGCTGTTCTTTAAAAAGAATGAAAGTGTTTTTTTGAATGAATAAATTTATGATTTTCTGAAATAAGCATTTTGTTTTATTTATTAATATTTTATTTTTTTTTATAATCTTTGAAAACTTGTTTCATATATATTTCTTCATAATTAATTTTATTTAGTAGTAAATTGCTAAATTATTTACGATTATAGAATCAGAAGATTATTTACACAAACTATGTATTCCTGATTCTGAACAAGATCATACTCAGGATAATACTAATATAATCAAACATCAGCATTCTTCAAATTCACTGGTACATGTTTGTTGGCATCGAAATACTAGCGTTAATTATGAAGATTGTAGACATTCTTTATTGGTAAGAAGAATCAGAATTATCTAATTAAAATTTTTCTTGTCAATTTTACAGGTGTATACAGGGTGTTTATAAATGAATGGTGTGGTTTTAAAAATTAATAATAAATCTTTTTATTATCTTATATGGGCAAACCTTACAGCATAAGCAGTGGCAGCTGTCCAAGTTTATATACTGTCAATGCCTGTGTCCCTTGAGGATGCACTGCAGACCATCACGGAGGACATGTTACATTGCATATGGGAAGAATTTGATTACCGTGTAGATGTGTGTCGTGTGACCATGGGTGCACATATTGAAGGATTGTGATTAATGCATAAAAAACTTGGACAGTGCCCTGCTTGTGCTGTAAGGTTTGCCCATATAAGGTAATAAATAGATTTATTATTAATTTTTAAAACTGCACCATTCATTTATAAACACCCTGTATATAGAAAACAACATCAAACTACAATAGTTCCTTGACATATTGCATCTTGTTATATAACTCATTTGAATATATTGCACATTTTTTGTCTTTTAATATAAAAGCACTTTAGGTGATAATCTTTAAAAAATCTGTTTTCATTGAATATCTTCTGGCAAAGAAATATTACCTTATTTCAATCATTGACCTAGAAACCACCATTGTATGAAATCACGCAAAAATAAGTCAGCATGGAGATTGAAAATAGGCAAAACAAATGAATATATGTTCTCTCTTTTAGTCTTAGGTCCTCCTATGCAGATGGCAACCAGCTGTCACCAGCAAATGTGGTCAGCTGCAATGGTTTCAGCATCATTCCATGGAATGCTAATTTTCTTTAGATCTTTTTTTATATATAGAGTGCCAGGTTGTTTGTAATTTACCTTGTTATCTTTTTTCACTGCGTGGTTTCTATTTTAAGGCTACTTTTGGTATTTTTCTAGAAGACAAAGTTCATGCTTTGCAAAAGGCATTCTATGCGCTTATCAATGTCATGTAGTTTGTGTAGGCCACAGCTTCTGAGGACTTCCTCATTTGTGATACAGTCACAATATGTAATTCTAAGTATCCTTTGGAGACAGCATTGATGGAATATGTTGAATCTCTGAGTAATCTTCTTTGTGTCTTTTCATGTTTCACAAATATAAATTACAGTTGGAATGACAATGGTGTTATAGAGATGCATCTTAATTGCTAAACTGATGCTCATGTGAACCAGATTGAGCATAGTCTCTGAAAGACAATTGAATCTTTACAAAGTTGGCATTTTATATTAGCTTCAAATCTTCCACCTTGTGATAACATGCTACCAAGATAGCAGAACTCCACCACTTCATCCATTGTTTGGCTCTTGACTGAAATTTTTACTTTTGTTTGCCTATTTATGGACATTATTTTTGTTTTATCACTGCTGATCTGCAATCCCACCCTTCCAGCCTCAAGGCTTGTGGTCATACTCTGCATCTTTGGGCATGTTTCTGATATCAATGCAATGTCATCAGCATAGTCCAGATTTGCGAGTTGCATCTGCTCTCCCCATGGAATTCCTGCACCGGGGATGGCCATTGCTTTCCTCATTATAAAATCAATGACCAGGAGGAATAATAATAGCAAGAGAGTGCAACCTTACCTAAAATCAATCTCAATTTTGAAGAAATCAGTGTATCTATTCTCTGTCTTTATACAGCGGTAGACTCCAGATACATGTATCAATGCATCACTGTGGTATATCGTAAGATCTAACAATATTCCACAGTGATTCACTGGAATATTGTTTGACAATGGACACTGTCAAAGGCTTTTTTAAAGTCAACAAAGTTAATTATCAGTGGTTTCTGAAACTATGATATGACATTCTCTATGATATTCTAAAAAACATAGATCTGTTCCCAGCATGATTATCTCTTTCTTAAGCCAACTTGCTCTTCCCTCAGGATTCATCCAACTGATCCTCTTAAAATCTGTAAGAGAATTAAGAAGACCTTTCCAGGAACTGAGAGAAGTGTAATGCCTCTCCAGTTGTTATGATAACCAATAGTGTAATAGTCAAACTTCCTTTCTTAGGAAGTTTGACTATTACACTTCTTTGCCTGTCCCTGGGAACACTTTCCTTCTTCCAACAGTTGTTCATAAGATTTGTGAGGGCTTGAATGATGTAATCTGCTCCATACTTCAGGATCGCCACTGAGATCTCATCAAGACCTGCTGCTTTGTTGTTCTTCAAAGATCTGATCACCTTTGCAGTTTCATCTATTGTGATCTCATCCATTTCCACCTCAAGGTCTTGAGATGTTGACAGTGCTGAATTCAAGTGTAGAGATAGTTGATTGGTTTAACGTCTTATTAAACTGTTCCATCCAGTGTATGCTTTGTTCTTCTTTTTACTGATCAGGAATTTACCAGTTTTATCTTTTATGGGAACCTTAGAATTTCTTCTTGCCCCAGTTAGTTCATGGACAGTACAATATAGAGACTTGGAGTTGTTCCTATCTGCTGCCTCCTGTGTCTTAACACATTTGTGTTCAATTCAGGTCCGTTTATCAGCAAGACAGTTCTTTTTTACTTACTTATGTAATATGTGATATTGTGCTACAGTTTCAGTTTTTGTTTGTGGTGATTTGGCCTGGTTTCTTTATTTGTTTTACATTCCTTCTTTTGTCTATTAGATTCCAAATGCCATTCTGTATCCAGTACTGCCTGTTGGTACCTCTTCTTTGTAATACTTTTTCAGCACTATCCTTCACTACTTGTTGAAATCCATTCCATTGTAACAGGATAAAATGGTTTCTGAGATTAAGTTGGAACTCATGAGTAGTAGGTAGATTGTGTAATTTCTCAGTTGCATAGGCGACTCTAAGGTTTATGTTTTTTTTAAGTCAAAACATAGGGAGGTCCAGAGGAGATTATGATCAGACCCATTATCAGCTCCTTGATATGCTTGGACATCTTCAAGTGATGACCTCCAGCAGCTGTTGATACAGATATAATCAATTTTATTGTTTGTGTTATCATCAGGTGAATGCCAGGTTTTCTCATATAGACATTTATGTGCAAAATAAATGTGCATTTTGTGTATTTTCAATGCACAAAATGTTCATGCTGCAGAACAGCAATAGATGTTTCCTATTATCATTTGTTTGCACAGTAGAGCCATGTGATCCAATGACACAGTAGGACTATCCTATGATTGCCTAACTGACAGTGGCATGCCGTCATTGGAAGCGGTGGATTTCTAAAAAATAAATACATATTAATTTTAATTATATGAAAATAATCGCACAATATTTTATTATAACCACATTATGTATCTTGTTACAAATTTCTATACTACACGTGGAAAAAAAGATAAGATTGCTATTGAATATTCGAATATTAGTGGCAGAGTGGAAGTGCTGTATTGTTAGCATCCAAAAAGCCAGATTTGCGCAATGCGCTTTACAGAGCACCAACCTTACCTGGTTTAGCTGGTGGAAGCCTAGGACCTTGGATGGATGCTAAACATATACCACATCCAATTCTATCCAGGACCGGTTCTGGGCTGTTAGCCACCTGCCTGCTAGATATTTGGCTGCCCTCGCCCAATTACATGAATCACGAGTAGATTTATAACGTACCTAACCGATAAGAATTTACTGGTATGTTTTTATGATAGTTCTGTATAGTTGACAGGAGTTAAAAAAATCCATTAAAATATTTGATATTTTTATTCTGCTTGCCCAATTTATATTACTCATGGATTTCAATGTTAAACCAGTGATATTACAATTTCGTAATCCCATCTTTAAGGGGATGTAGAAAAAAACTTGTACAATTCTTGTATAATGTTAAAAAATTAACTGTTACTTTGACAGCATCATTTACAACTAAATTTAATGAATGAGAGAGATGCACAAGGTACAGAAAAAGCTCTAGAATTTATTTTTTTTAAATTTATGATTTATGTATCCATTTGACATAAAAATTTGTCTTTCCACTTTTTCCCGAGACTACAAATATTCGAGTACAAAATAACTTGTTTCGACTTATTTCTACTTAAGAAGTAGTTAAATAATTAAGCGATTAGGGAATTGGGGACATAAACAAAACCCTGACGAAAGAGCCAAAATTTTACTTAAACAAAAGCTTAACCTGTAAAGTACTATTTTTAACTTATCGCTTTACAACGATTTTTGTTCCGGAAAGAGCCAGTACCTAACGGGTACTTTACGTGGGTTCGCGTTTGTTAGTTTGCCATGCCTGGACTTTTCGCATGCACCGAAATAAATTTAAAGACAAGTTAGTCAAAAATCAATAAAAGTATTTAATAAAAATTTAGGAATAACTATTTACAATATTTATAACAAACAACAAATTTATTCAATCAAATAAAATCCAAAAGTCAACCCGACAAAATTCAATCTTATTCTAACTTAAAACTATTACCCTTGGAATTCCGACAAAAATCAATCCTTAACTTAAGGTACAGAATTTCTTACAACTACAAATCCTAACCGTCACCTCAATTATACTAGGAACCTTTTTCTCAACTCAAGACTTTTCCTATTCCTCGATCCACAAATCGAAACTGCAATCGCCTTGGACTATTTCCTATTGGACACCTCGTTCACTGCTACTAGCAGACCAATGCTTATTCTTTTCAGGAGCTCACCTCTGCCGTCTTCACTTGAGCTACGCTATTTATAGTCTGAGGTGACATCACAGTTTCTAAGTGAGACACTCCCCTCACTTACATACTTATATGTAACATTCACTTTTCTCTTTATCTGGTAGCTTAATTCCCGAAAATACTTTGTTAACCTTTTACAGTCTTTTCGTGAACAATTATCGGGATGTTTCCTTTAAGGTTTAACAAGTCTCCTAAAAGTCTGTGGGGTCTGTCCCCCCCTTTCAGTGCGGGCTTACTATCTGCCGCTCGGGCGTGCACGTGAGTGCAATTGCTAGCTATGGCGCTTTCTTTTCGTCATCGGTGAGTTAGTTTTATCTTCTCTTTTTAACTTTCTAAGGTGATGGGTAAGGAAACCTTCATCCTAAATAAACA